TGGGCTAGGCCGAAGCGGTCCCATGACTACTGTCCGCGGCCCTTTTTACACCACCCAGCAAGAGCTCAAATGGAAAAGATCACAGTTTGGGGTAAATACGATGTCCTGTCATCGAACAATTTTTTCTGTTGCGTTTCAAGGTATAATGATATGAAATGAGTTCTGTGAAATATGAAATATAATACCCTATATGAAAATATGGCTTGTCAATATAAAAAAGACTGAGGTTTTTCGGATCTGGAGTCTGGTCTGTCACATTCTTTTCCGAATTGACAAGTCAACTAAATTAGAGAGGTTTCACAACAGTCCTTTCGTTTCCTATTTCACTTCCCACCGCATGTAAAAAAAACCTCGAATACTGTTAAGGAACTCACGAAAGTTGATTGTCATTCTTTTCCCACGACCTTCGGAAAGAAATTCATTCTTTTCCCCTTCGGCTTCGGATGACAACACCTGTAAAAAAACGCCGCGTCTTCACCGAGCGCGAAGACGTACTACTACTGACCCAAGTCAGTGTCGAAATGCTATTCCTCGCCCGCCGCGGCAAGATAATGGATGTATGGGACTCTGTCGCACGCAACTTGGCCACCATTGGCGAGTTTGACCGTCCCCAATTCGATGGAAAGAAGGCGCAAGCCCGATTCATTATACTCTTGCGGGACCATCGCGACAACAACAACGCATCTCGACGTGCCTCGGGCGCGGCCGAGAATGTCACCGAAAAGACAATCCTGTTGGATGATCTTTGCAACCAAGCCGACGAAGCCAAACAAGAAGTGGGCCGCCGAATGACCCAGGAAATTGAAGAGGCCTCAAATGTCGAGGAGAATGGTGCAATCGCCCGCGAAGAGGCCATGAAATCCCAAGGCAAGCGAAAAGCAAAGGACGAGGATGACGAATCGAGCGGCGGCGGCGGTGGCAAGATGTTGAAGGTATTGTCGTTGATGAACGAAAGCAACAAGAGCGAATTGGAGCTTCGCAGACTCATGTTTGAGAAGGAGATGGAGGAGCGTACCAAGGATAGTGAGGCTCAGCTACAGCATGTGCAAATGCAGGCGCAACAAGTCCAAATGTTGCAGTCGACATTGACTACCCTTCTGACTGCCCTTGTTAACAAATTGTAATTTGTTTAAAATCCTGTAGTATTGCATCTAACGCAATGAATAACTACTCATCACAGAGTTGTCAAAGTTATTACACATTCTTACACATCTGCCAAGATACTCTTCAAGTGTTGGTGGCAGCAGATCATAGTACATACTAATTTGATTTCCGCGGAAATGACAGCAATGACAACTTGTCAACAACATTGCATCGCAGACGACTTTTGCCACCGGTGATAACATGATTTTGGACATTTTTTGGACGAAATGTGTGGCCAGAGCGTTTTCATAATATTAAAATTCCATTCCACAGCTTGGCGAACGCTGCTCATCGATTTATTGAAAGTTTGTTGATCCCGCGACAAGTTGTTTCCACGATAGCCACTCACAACAAATTTCGTCACACCGTATGCGGGGTCTCCATAAATGTACTTTGAGGGAAAAACATCGGGGTGCTGGGCAAATGATCGCAGCAAGCCACTCATTGCAAGCATCGCTGAATCGTGTCGTCGTCCTTCGGCTGTCCCCCAGAAGTGTACGCAAATGCCGTCCGGAGCAGATACCGCCTGAAAATTCAGGCAATGGTATCGTTTGTGTCCGTTGTATATTTGCTTTTGCAAATTCGATCCATCCCCAGTCGCAGATATTCTATTCATTTGAACTTTAGTGCCATCGATAAATCTAAACACACATTCCAACGGAGAGCCTTTAGCTGCGATAGCATGGCGGTATTGGTGCATACGGTCCCGGAGCAATTTTGTGTTCAAAGACAATATCGGTTCCACCGGCCAAATATGTCGTGCACAAGATACGAAAAGATATCCCACAGACGCGCTCGGGAACGTCCAAACATTCGTGACATGTCGTGGTAGCGGCGAGGAAACGTTAAACGGCTGAATAGCACACACATGGCTTCGTCGCGGCAAATACGAGTGTTATTGGTAGTGATAATGACAGCTGGCAAGCCAAGGAGGCACCCCAGTCGTTTTATGCCAACGACGTCGAATCGGAAGTCCAAAATGGAGTTTGCATTCGCATACCCGTCGAGCGAGAAGCCGACTTCGGAATAACGGGCGGCTCAATGCACTGATAAACGTGTAGATGCAATAGCATGTCATCGTCACGAGAGGCCTTTGTCGTCGCAAGTGGCAGCAGTCGAGTGATGTCGCTGACAGAGAGAAGAACCATGGCGAACCACAGAGCGTTTGTTGAAATGGGCGTGCTGTCGTTTCAATGATTTGCAACTATATCAGGAAAGGAAAATATTGATGAAACCGTTAAAATTTAAATCCGCTCGTTTCCTGCTCAGCTCCCCGGAAGCTAAACAGGAAACGAAAGGACTGTTATGAAGCCTCTCTAGTGAGCGAACGCGCAGCTTATCGAGAGACGAACGTCTCTTGATACTTCGTATGCATGCACACCTGCGCCATAGCAATGCTTTAGGTGTTACAGAGCAGATTGCACAGTTGGCAGGTCGAAGCCTTCATGCTGTAAAGGAAGTATGGTCTGAATATCAACACGATAAGACTGTGACTGCTGCCAAAGTTGCTGCGAATAGATCTAGCCGCAATACACGTATTCCAGACACAAAAGAGGACTTATCCATCATTCAATCACTTGTTCGTGAGCGTCGATCAACTCGCACACGAGTGGTTGCAAAAGATGTGTTGAGTTTATTGTATGAGTATGGTATTGTGAATTACGAAGGTGAGTGATGAGTAATTCCTCTAACAGTCAATAATTTTCAAAATGAATAATATCACTGCAAAAGCACCAAAGAGGTTGTGATTTCTGGAATTTGTTGAATTAACCGGAAGGTCGGTCGATGCGTTCGACCATTGTAAAATGTTTTACATAGAGTGCAATACAAGTAGGTATAACTCACGGTGTACTTCCTCTGTTTCTTAATACTGCCACTATAACCACTTGAAGTGACCCCAAAAATTCATTTCTTGTCCAACTTTAATGCGGAATATCACAAAAGAAAGAGAATGAAATTGTGAAGGAATCCTCCATTGGAAGCGACGCGCCCAACAGGAATTTTGGTGGTCAGAATTAACTTTGCGTTAGAGCCACAAAAAAAGAATACAAAAATAAAAAAATAGAATAAATATTAGGGCCCTGTCGGCACATTTGAACTTCCCACCATGAGCACAAATCAACGCCTCAGCCGAGAATTGACCGACGAAACAAAACGTGAGGTCGCCGTCATGCTTCACGAGAACCTATGCATGGGCAAAATGCCGCGTGGAACAGTCAAGGCTGTCGCCGCGCGCTTTGAGCTTGACCGGAGCACTGTACGCGAAATCTGGAGTCGGTACAATAAACGGATCAACAAATCCCTCAAACTCGGTCGAGTTGGACCTCCCATACGCTACACAGTCGCTGAGATAATTGAACAAATAAAAGAAGTACCTCGAAACCAACGCAGCACCATGCGAGACATGGCTCAAGCCACTGGCATATCAATCAGTACCCTTTGCTGGGCTCTCAAGACGGGTATCATGAAGCGCCGCTCGTCCCGACTCAAACTTCTGCTCACCGACGCCAACAAACGCGAGCGCCTTGCCTTCTGTGGAGCACAGGTGACCTCACCAATGACGCCATCGACGAGTACCTTACTGCTAATGATTCCAAAAGCTCTAATGTGTGCCGCCAGTGCCGGCACTCTTCGAGAAGTCGCGTTTTGCGGTATGTGGGACGTCGTACATCTTGACGAAAAATGGTTCAACGCCGACAAACACTGTCGCAAGGAGTACCTTGTTGACGATGAGACTCCTGGTACTCGGTCGTGCAAGTCCAAGCGGTTCTTGCCCAAAGTCATGTTTTTGCGCGCTGTTGCCCGACCGCGCCAGAGCCTTGGCTTTGATCGCAAGATTGAGCTCTGGCCTTTCGTCAACCAAACCCCTGCTTTGCGAGCGTGTAGAAACCGTCCTGCTGGTACTATGGTGTCGAAAACCACTAATGTTGAAGCGGAAACGTTCCGTGATTACGTTCTGAACAAGGTCGTCCCCGCAATCAAGGCTAAGTTTCCAAGCATCAGCAAGTGTGTCTCTCTTCAACATGACAACGCGACACCGCACAGCTCAATCGACGACAAAGCTCTTGCCAAAGTATCCATCCACTCATGGGTGGACGTTCCGAGTTCGTCAGCAACCGCCCAACAGCCCCGACTTAAACGTGCTCGACCTTGGTTTCTTCGCCCCCATCCAGACCTTACAGTACAAGATGTTTAGTCGCTCTGTGGATGATGTTATTGCGTCGACAATGGTGGCATTTGACACTCTCGAGGCAGATACCTTGGAGAATGTGTTTCTTACCCTACAAGCTGTTATGCGCTTGGCTTTAGAACAAAGTGGTGGTAACCTGTTCAAGCTCCCTCATCTGAATAAGGCTGCCATGCGTCATGCTGGAAACCTCGTGGTGAATTTGACCTGCCCAGTGTCACTCCTCTTCGAGGCCAACGGCCTCCTTCAAACAATGAGTCCATGAGTTGTGGCATTGCAATTATATCCAATAAAACACACTTCGTGCATGCTTGTCCAATCATATTGAAATGGTGGCAGTAACATGAAAAGTCGATTTTTGAATGGTGGGAGTAATATGAAACAGAGGAAGTATATTTTTGTCAATTTGTGTTGTTTTGTGATACTCTATACTAGTAGTAACTATAGTATGTTGTACTGTAAAGTTCTAGTTTTTCGGAGTAAGGTAACGCATCGAATCCTCGAACACGTTTTGCAGGCACAACGATAGGATTATTTGGGTTGACGGCCAGAGCGAACCATGTACCGTGAAAAGAATCTGAGGATACCATTCAAAACTATAATTCACCCTCAATTTTTTACAGTCATGATTAGGACAAAATATCTACATTTGTGA